TTCTTGATGCTGCCTGTACTTCTTGGCTCATGGCCTCTTCTTAGCCTCAAAGCCAGGGTCGGCCAGGTGAGACTTTCTCACACCCTCTCTCTCTAAATGTGTCCCAATTGCTACATCTCTCTTTTTTTTTTTTTTTTTTTTTTTTTTTTGTCTTTTTCATTTTTATCGGTACCAGGGATCGAACTCACGACCGCCTGCTTGCAAGGCAGGTGCTTATGCCGCTGAGCTAAATCCCCAGCCCCGCTACATCTCTCTTACTCTGGCTTTCCTGGACATTTGCCTTGCAACTACTTATGAGTAACTCAGAATAATCTTCCCAACTTGACGTTATCTGCAACCATAACTGTGCCTCTCCATCTGCAAAGTGTACTCATAGATTCTAGGAGACCGCTTTAATGAAGGAATTGGGAACAGATCAAAAATACATAATTCGGCCTTTTTAAAAATTCATATCTGCACTTTGGACATCTTGAGGGGTCATCACTCCCCCTATGATAGCCCCTTTGCATCTTCTTAGCTGTCATCAGTCATTTTCAACCAATCTAAGCTGCATAACACAGCCAGGGGACAAAGGTGACTTGTCTTCCTCTGTGACTTGCCTTGGGACTCTATGATCTCACAGGGGATAATTCTACCAGCCAGAGAGATGCCACAGAGTAACTAAAGTTGGACATTCAGCTAAAGAACCTTAGCAAGAACTCCCTGTATGTCAAGAACCAAGCTAGGCATGAGAGATGCACAAATAAATGGGAGGACCTGGCCCCTTCTCAGGGAGCTTAGGGTCTACTAAAGGAAAGGGCCAAATGCCAAAGATGGAGGAAAGAAACTGCAAAACAAGACAAGGCCAGGTACTGATCTGCATCCCCCATCTGAGGGAAAATCTGAGACCTGAGAAGAGAAGAACTGAGGAGATCTGAGACCTCCACTAAGAGGTGGAGGATACAGGCTCAGCTTGGTCCCACTCCAGATGTGAAAGCTTTAAAGATTATACGCAGTATGTGCAAGAAACTGCAAGCTGTTTCATCTCACGCTTTTTTCCTACCAATCTCTATCCATCTCACTGAGCAGAAGTTCTGCTCTACTAGAAAAATGTTCATATAATTTCCTCCTAGATATAGAAAGCATTTATAGATAACCCGGAGCCGCTTTCTAACACTATGAGTTCATGCTATAGCACATTTTGTAACTAGCCCCTGATCAAGCTGAAGACTGTCCCTCAGTTGTACATTGTGTCTCTGTAGGGGTCTAAGGCAACTATCTAAGCACCAAATAGATATTTTAACATCGAAAGATTCATTCAAGTTGTCATCTGAGTATACACAAATGATTTATTCTCCCCGCAAGTTGATACAAGCAATGATTCTCCCACGTGCGCTCCAATGCTAGATGTCATCCTCTTTTTTCTTTAACCTTTGCCAATCTGATTGGTGCAAAGGTAGCATCTCCATATGGCTTTGATTTGCATCTCTTTCATGAGGAGTGTAGTTAAATTTTTTTCTGCCTGCCTGTATTTTATACCTTGGGGACATCTGGAATTTATTTTGTTAGAAGAATAGAACTTTGCATTTTCCAAGTGGCAGCAGTAGTTAGCAAATCATTTACAATATCCCTGCTGATGTGAAATGCCACCTGCTCTACATTTTAAGAATGAAAAGAAGCTGGCCTCACCCCAAACCTCACACCGTACACAGAGATAATTCAGAATGAAGCACAGATTCAAGAGTAAAGTATGAAACTTTCAGAATGTAACAAAAGAAGTTATGTGCAGTACTAGGGCTGAGCAAAGAGTTACTGGCACAACACCAAAATCAGTCTGTAAAATAAAAAATTACTAAACTGAAGCTTAAAACTTCTGTGCTGGAAAAGATCCTAGTAAAAGGATGAAAATGCAGCTAGGAATGGGTGTAAATATTTGCCAAACACATCCAACAAAGGTGCCTTATAAAGAACTGTCAAAACTCAACAGTAGATCTCCCCTCCCTGGTAAGCGGAGGCGGTGTGGCAGACTGCGGCCCTTCCAGGGGGAGAACCACCAGCAGCTCCTGAGATCCATGCCATCTTGGAACTTAGGAAGCTGGGAAGCCAAGCAAGCTTGGTAAGCAGTGTTGGTGTGGCAGACTGCAGCCCTTCCAGGGGGAGGACCACTAGTGTCTCCTGCGATCCGTGCCATGTTGGAACTTAGGATGCTGGGAAACCAAACATTGCTTAGCCTGCCTCCCTGCTAAGCAATAGTGAACCTACTGATGCTCGGGTGAGAGTCAAACATCCCACTTCCCCTACCTCCCTTCTCCTGTCCCCCCTCCTCCCCTCCCCTGTTAGCAAATGGGAACCAGAAATCTGAGCATCTCCTGGGAGGTTGACCATAGCAAATAAGGGGGACTTCCTTCTACCATCTCTTTGAAGGCAAATATTTTTATTACTGTTTTGCTCTATTCTGATTAATGGTACTGCTCTATTCAATATTCTGTTTTGATAAGTTCTATAATGTTCTGTATTTCATCTCATTTTGATATACATGTTTGAAAGAACAACTATTATAAAGATAATGAAATAGGGGCTGGGGATTTAGCTCAGTGACATAGCACCTGCTTTGCAAGCAGGCAGTTGTGAGTCTGATCCCTGGTACCGATAAAAAAAAAAGATAATGAAATATACTTGATACCTATTACTGTTATCCCAGTAACCTGTTGTGAAGTTCTGTACCAATTCCACTGTACGATCTTAGTTGATTTTGTTCTGTCTTGTTCTGTTGTATTTTACTACTTCCAAAATAAAATTTAAAAAAAAAAACCTCAACAGTAAAAAACAGAAAATCTAAATAAAACATGGATCAAAAACTTGGATATATATCTCACCAGAGAGGAGATGCAATTGGCAAATAGACACATGAAAAGATGCTGGCATCATTAACCAGTTGTCAAATGCAAATTAAAAATGAAAGCTACAATTAAGAGAGCTCTAAACATCTACCACCAATGGCTAAAATAAAAATAATGATAACATTAAGTGCTGATGAGGATGTGGAGAAACTGACAGCCTGACCCACAGCTTGTGGAAAGGTAAAATGGTACAACCCCTCTGGAAAACACTCAAGCAGTTTTTCACAACACTAAGCATGTAGTTACCATATGAGCCAGGAATTGCATTATAATAAACTTTGTTGCATGAGTCAGCTTTCCCTCCCTACAAACACACACCAGGGCAGGTGATTTATGAAGCAAAGAGAGGTGTGTCTTGGTTTCTACTTCGGGAAGTACAGGTCTAAGGCCAGCTGGCCTCATTGGTTTGGGCCTCAGAGAAGGACGCACAGCATGACAGAAGTGTATGTTACAGGGAGAGCTCACACCCGCCCTCCAAGCAAGCAGAGAGAGAGCACCAGGTCCCCACACTCTTCTTAGTGACTGGCCCTCAAGGACCTACGGGCCTCCCATCACAGCTCCCAATACCACCATACTCATAGCAAGGACAATTCCAGTGTCCTTCAAAGAGGACAGAGCTGAACAAACTGGCAGATCCTTCAGTGGAATACTATTCTGCAGTAAAAAGTATGAACAAACAATGCAGTTGTCTAACTGGACCTCAGAAGTATGAAGCATAGTTTAAAAAGCCAACCACAAACTGTTACAGACTGTGGGGTGTGTGAGCCCCTTTACATCACCATCTCTGAATGTGAAAGTGTTGGGCTGGGGCACAGAGGAGGAGTCGCCAGGGTCAGGACCGGAGCAAAAGAACTGGGTGTCCAAAGACAAAGAGACTGTACAGGGGAAAGTTTTGTGGTGACAAAATATTTCTGTGTTTTGAATGTGATGATCACAAGAATTATACCTGTAATGCAGTTACACAGAGATACATACATGTAGTGAATGTAGATTTTAAATGCTGAAAACAATAGAAAATCTGTAATCTTGTTAACAATTAACTGCCCATTTTTCTTTTTTAAAATCTTGTCCTACCGTTACCTAAGATTCAGTCTATGATCAGCGATACTGGAGATAATATTTTTGCAAGCTCCTGTGAACCTATAACTAGTTCAAAAGGACGGTCTTTTACAAAAAGGTGGGTTTTTTTGGTTTGTTTTGTTTTTTGTTTTTTAAGGAATACAGGTCTAGAAAGAGAGAGAAGAAAACCAACTTTGCAAAGGCCTTCCGGTTGCACGGGAGGGGTCTCATAGGGCCCTGTGGTCTTGATAATCTAGTTTCTTTCCCTCGTCCCAAACACACAACATAGCTTTTTGCAAAGAGTCCAAGGGACCGGAATATGCCAGGACAGATGCAAAAGCAGCATAAAGGTAGCTAAAAAAAAAAACCTTAGCATCCCTTTAGACTCACCAAGTGTTAACATTGTGGCCGCGAGCTTTATCTTATGAGATCTTACTTATCTCTGGGTATCACTGCTTCTCGCCACCTAGCCAGTCCGACATCCAGCACCTCTGCATCTGCTCGGGTGTGCATTTCCTATGAAAATTCTCTCACACAGTCACAGCAGAGTTCACCGCAGTCATCTTAACTCTGATGCAAGGCTCGTTTTTTCCTCTTCCACTCTCCTCGGTGGCCTAGGTCAGGGGCTGCACCTCACGGCACCCCGGAAATCTCTCCTGTGACTTGCACGGGTTTTCAAGGGACTGGCCTGCCGGTCTCTGCGGTGCAAGGCGCTCCGACTCGCTGAGTGGAGCGTTTTCGTAGTGCCAAGTGTCATCATCCCTGTTGCCGGTGAGTTGCTAAGCGCAGGTGACTTTGGTTTTCGCGCGCAGCACGGAAAGCGACCCAGGGCGGAGGGAGGCGCGCGGGGGACGGCGCAGAGGCCAGGACGGAAGGACTGAGCCTCCGCGGGCGGGCGGAGCGCGGCTGGACCACGCGAGGACCGGCCTCCTGCGCGGGGTCACCTGGAGCGCGGGGTGGCCAATCGGCGGCGCGGCCCGGTCCCCGCGGCCAATGGGAAGGCGGCGCGGCGCGCTCCCCGATATAAGAGCGCGCGGGCGGCGCAAAGCGAAAGTGGCTGCCGCGGAGCGAGCCGCGGGGATGCTGCGGGCGCCAGAGCCGCGGCTCCGGGAGCCAGAGGCGGGGGCGGAGGCGGAGGCGGCCGGCTGCAGCCCCCGGGCCTCGCGGCCGGCCGCGTCCAAGCCGCTCACCTCCTTCCTCATCCAGGACATCCTGCGGGACGGCGCGGAGCGGCACGGTGACCACGCCGGGCACCCGCAGCCCCCGTGCCAGCCCGAGCCGCCGCGGCGGGACCCTGAGTGCGAGCCCGGAGGAGGACGAGGCCGCGCTGGGGCGCCCAGGGAGGCGGACACGCGGGCGGAGGCCCAGCCAGGTAAAGCAGGCGCCGAGGCCCAGGCGCGCCTCCCGGAGCTCGGGTGCAGGGACGAGGGGCCCCGGGGCCACAGAGGGAACCTCAGGGACCCCTGGTCACGGTCGCGCCTCGGGCGTCGACATCGGGACCCCAGACGCAGACTACGTACGCGCACACTGCTGCACCCGCTTGCTCCGTGGGGCACGTGCCCTGGGAGAAGCAGTAACTTACTAACATTAACAATCAGGGTTTCCTTTCCTTCCCCGTCCCCATCTGTAAATCTGTACCGCGAGTGTCCCCTGCGGGCTCCGGGAGATCACACGCGGTGGGAACGCTCAGCGCAGCTTAGTCTCTCCCCATCACTTCCTCGCGGCAGCCTAACGCCTCATTTAGAGCAGTAGGGATTAAAGCCGGGAATGAACTTGCCATTAGCCCGCGCCGCCTCCGTCGCGCAAGCCCTCTCTTGCCCACCCGGATGCTCGCGCCGGATGCCTTTTGGTCTCCTTTTCGAGTGAGAATGAGCTACTCCTCCGCCTCCCTTGCTCGGGCCTCCAGGTCTCTAAAGCGCACAGACCCAGCCTGAATCCCCTTTTCCCCTTCTCCCCCCACCGTGGTTCATTGCATCCGACCCTAGAGCAAAAAGTCCGATCACACTGAACCTTGTGATTTCGGGTTCCTGCTGATGATTAGAAAACGAATACAAAATACAGGGATGCAGTCATTCCGCGCTAGGGAGAGTTCCTTAGTCCTGCGAAAAAAGCGAAAAGTATCCAGGCCAACAGTGGGCTGTTTGTTTGCTCTCTGAAGAGATAAGGGCGGCTGCAGTGCTGCACTCCCATGTTACTCCTCCTGCCACCCACCGTCTCCCCTTCTCTTTTCCAGATAGGCGCCTCGAGACTTATCTGTTGGACTGTGAGCCCTCCCCGGGCGCCTTACCAAGCCTTCCCCAGACCGCCAAGCAGCCGCAGAAGCGCTCCCGCGCTGCCTTCTCTCACACTCAGGTCCTTGAGTTGGAGAGGAAGTTCAGCCACCAGAAGTACCTGTCTGCCCCCGAACGGGCCCACCTCGCCAGGAACCTCAAGCTCACCGAGACCCAAGTGAAAATATGGTTCCAGAACAGACGCTATAAGACTAAGCGGAAGCAGCTGTCCTCGGATCTGGGGGAGCTGGAGAAGCACCCCTCCCTGCCAGTCCTGAAGGACGACGCGCTCTCCCGGGCCTCTGTGGTCTCCGTGTACAACAGCTACCCTTACTACCCCTACCTGTACTGTCTGGGCAGCTGGAGCCCCACTTTCTGGTAATGGCTGCTCAGATGTCAACCGCGTATGGTGGGAAATTGCCTCCCCACAGAGGAGGGACTGAGGTCGGGGAGTGCTGGGGAGACAGAGGGGTACAGATGCAAACCGTTGGAGGTTTGCAAGGACCTCCTCACTGGTGAGCCAGTAAAAGACTAGGGCAGTGGCTATTTTAATGTCTAAACAGTTCGCCCAGAGAAAGGTCTTTACAGCCCTTGGCTTAACTTTGGATGAGCTGTTTGCACTGCAGTTGACGATTCTGTCTCTGCAGTTCCATTCTCTTTGGGTAACTGAGCTGAGCATGGACTTAGAAGAGCCAACCTAAAGGGAGAGAGGAAGTTGCCTACCTGAGTAAGCTGAACTTCAAAGCCTTCTTGTTGGCCTGGAATAACCAAGGTCTCACTGTGTCCCTGTGAAAACAAGGGCATGTGAGGGTTTCAGACAACTCTGAGCAGGTTGCATGGAATATGGGCAGGGAGGAGCATGAAAACATCAGCTGCTTATTCCTTTTCCAAAAGTCCGGTTCTTTATGTATTTACCGAGGGCCTCGGAAGAACAGGATGCACTCACTGTGGCTTTTAAGACAAGCGGTGTAAACAGGACTGGACTGCGAGGGGTGGGGCCATGCTGGAAGACTCTGCTCTTCCGAGGCAGAGGCCTGGGGGAGGAGAGTCCTCCAGGCTCCTTGCTAGGACTGCTGCCTTGTTTGTTAGCTAAAAGTGGAAAGGCCTCTGCTAACCTTTTCTGCCCTGGCTGGAGAATTTAGAATCAGAGGTTCCTGGACTCTTTTGGCTAGAATTTATACTACATTATGAGAGAAAGAGATGGCATATGGTTGGGGGGGGGGAGGATAAGTTTCTTTCTTTCCTCTTTCATTTTTTGTTCCTTTTCTACAGCAATCAACAAAGGACTTCCTTTCAGTCCAGGCTTTTAACTGGCCACATCTAACTTTCACCTTTCTTATTTAGCCTGAGATCTGAGATTTGATCTTTTTCTTTTTTCTCCCTCTACCCTCAGCCCACATTTCATGAGTTTAAAAAAAAAGTAGAGGAGCAAATTCTGAATGAATCAAAAGATACAGTTTCCAAACAAAACAAAACAGAAAAACTAGCAACATTTACTTCTTACCCTTAAAAACGCACAGCATTAAATTCCAAATCCTGTTTAAAGATCTGACAGCTCTGATCACTGCAGCTCTGCAAAGTTCATCAAGTCTTGGGGATGCCTGCAGGTGGAGGAGGTAAGAGGTTTCAGGGGTTTCACAGGGAAGGACCGACACACACACCAATGAAGGACGGGCATCACTGAGATTCCCAGGGCAGGCAGTGGGCTGGCAGGCGCAGGCTGGGCTTGGAAGTAAAGGCAGCCAGGTAGAAGGCTGCCAAGCCACTGAGAAAGCAGAGGGGCTCTTGTGCTTCTCAGGAAGAGACTTAGAGGGAGGAAGCTGTTTATAAAGCACATTATGATAGCTTCAGTCACCAGAAAAACAAACTGGCTAAATGCTACGGGAACTGTGCTCAGTGCCTGCGGCGTGACTTTTGGGAGAAAGAGCAGCAAGCAGAGAACATTGCCCCTCTCCACCTTATTATCTCAGGGGACCTGAGCAGCAGAGACATCAGGTGTGGAGGGGGCATGACCACTGCTGGAAAGTCTTTTGATTCCACTACTTAATTCGGTGCAGTGAGAAACCTTCAGGTTTCTTCCTGTTAAAAGGGCCAATTCATTGTTGGCCCCAGTGAGAAGATAGAAGGTTGGCAGGTTTCACCCCATTTGGCTACGGTGTGAGCTCCACATTGAGATATTGTTCAGGGCCACTTGTGGTGGCCTCTGCCACAGTGCTAGGTGATGCAAAGGCACAGAAGCCTGTGTTACTTCTGATTTGGCTTCTCACAGTGCTGCTTTCTCTCCCCACTCTCTGAACTGAATTCTTTCAACCTACGCTCCTGCAAGGATTAAACATTTTCTGTAATAAGTATATTTTGTTGCAAAGAAAGTTTTTGTTTAAAATCATTTAGTCTTTGCATTCATCTTGCCCATCCCATCCCCAACCTGAATCAGTCATTCACCACCCCTGACCTGGTAGAAAAACATTGGGAGAATTAATCTACTGATCTTCAACAGATGACCAGGACGATGCTCCAGGCCATTTTACCTGGACACTCTATTTTTATCCTGTGTCTGTGACCTGAAAATTTGTGACTTGAAGTTTACTAAAATGTCCCAAACTTTTATTTTCCTATGTATTTTTGCAGCATAGAAACATTTTCATAATAAAGTCTCTATGTGTTTATGAGAGATTTGTGTGTGATTTTCAGACTCCGAAAGATTGCTTGCTGTTTATATTTCTGGATACCGTCTTCTCTTACCCTCAACAGGCCTGACAAACCTATAGCCACCAAAGCATCAAAAGCAGCAGCTTAGCTGGTGGCTAATGAACAAAGCCTGTCAGGTATTAACCTATGTTCCTAGAAGATCACAAATGGAACATGGAGACCACAGCAGGTTTTCAATTAAAAAGTCCCCTTTCAGGTCCTACCAGCATCTCAGAGTGCATCTTTCCTGTCCCTGTCACTGCTATGTCTCCCTAAAGTGCTACCTGCACCCAGACTCCATAGACCATTGAATTGAATCATGAGCATTGGAAATAAGATTGATTATTGTGTTAAAATATACATAAACCACATTCTTCATCTCCTTGTGTTTAAGCCTTCATTAAATCCTACAAGCAGTGTCTCGTGCACCTGATTACCTGGGAGAATTGATGGTTTTCTCTCCTACCTCCCTCCTTAAAGGAAATAGAAGATTAAAGAATAAGGTGCTTACTTTAGGTGAAACATATCATAATTTCAAAGTGTGCTCTAATCCTTTAAGTACATTGTACACACAGGTGGAGCTTCTCATGGCATGCTCGCATCACGAGGTTTAAGGCATAAGTCCCTAGCTACCTCCCCTCCCTGGAAGGCCATTAGCTCTCAGTTACAAAGGCTCCTGCAGTAAATTAACAGATGTGGATTTTTGGGGTAGGGAGGAAAAGAACCATTTAAAAGTAATCCAGGAAATTAAAGAAAAACCTGCCATCTCTTAGAAAGTCCCCACTGCCTCCTCTTTTCTGCCCCTTTCCCAACTTTCACTAACATCTCTACCATCGTCACACCTGTCCTCCCCAGGACTCACGTGGATTGCCAGAAAGGAGGAAAAAATGCCACATACTCACTCTGAAGCAAAAATGTTTCTCTTCTAACTACAAAGTAAATTATTATTCTTGGAGAATGTTAGCATCATGCATCTCCAAGCTGACCTCCGAGGGAACCATGGCCACGGGAAGGCAGTCACTTAGCTTGGATGTCCCGAAACGGAACCTGTGAGGGGAAGCCCCTGGAAGAAGTTTTTCAGAGGCACACCTGGAAGGGAAGGAGGGAGGCGGGGTGGAGGAAAGACCAAAACTGACCCGGAGAAGGGTTCAGAGAGCTTGAGAGAGTTTGTGTCCCGCACAGAAGAGAGGAGGATGATCATCTGATGGGCCTCAGTCATGCCCGGAAACCTGGGTAACCTGGGTGATGCAGTTTCTTCCTCAAGGGACTCAGTGATACACTAGCATCCCCATCAGCTGCCGACGTGTGTGAGGGTTGTCAGCCCCATTCAGGGAGACTCTGTGAAGTACCATGAAATCCACCATTAGAGAGAAATAGGACCATCTCTCTCCCTGGTCACTCTCAGGGCTCTGGTCACCAGCATTTTTTTTACCTTGACGATATCCAAGTCCAGAGGAGCAGCACAAACTTCCACACTGGGACCTCCAGACTCTGTCCCTCCCATGGCCATCATGACTGTGTCACTCAGGCATGTTTTCCAAAGCAGAGAGTTATTTACTGCTCAAGAAAAAGGGCAGGAATGAGAGTCTCGGGGCATGAAAGCTCCTAGTTTAGCCATAGATTTGGCTTCTCAGAGAACTTTCTCAGACAGAATAGCCCAGAAATGCTGATTTAAAGTCTGCAAGGGAAATGAGAAGAATCCCATTTTCTAAGGTGTGTCCTCCCCTCACCTCCGCAAAGCCTCCAGGTGTGGCTTTGGTTCCTTTCTTGAGTCTATGCTGAGTTTTTCCCAAGCTCCCATGAGCAGTTTAGGAGAGAGATTTAGGACCAATTCTCTGTATCATCTTCTAACAGGGAAGTTCCCCACGTCTTTCCAGTTTATTGAGCAGAATCCTTATTGGGGATCTGATGAGAGAAACAGGTGACAAAGACATAAGTCCCGCTTTATCACAGGAATGACGGTCAGATACTGGCTATGGTCTGGGTATAGTTCTCTCCCCAAAGTCTCATGCACTGGAAGGTTGGGCTCCCTGGGGTGCTGCTGAGGTGGAAGAACTGTTAAGAGGCAGGGTCTATTGGAAAGCAATGAAGTTATGAGGGTTCCACTTTCAGCAGTGTGCTCTCATAGGGGCAGATCCCATCTCCTGAGACTGCAACCATCCCCTTGAGAATGAGTCGTTATAAAAAGATAAGCCTGGCCCCTCTCTGGTCTTTTACTTCCTATCTTTTTGTGTGATATCTCACACACACTCCTGTCATGTGATGCCACGTGCTATGTGTCACTCACCAGAAGCCAAGGCTGACACCATACACTTGGGCATCTAAAACCATGAGCCAAGATAAAGCTCTTTCTTTCATAAAGCATCCAGCTTTCAGTACCTTGTGATAGCAACACCAAAAAAGACTAAGAGAATACTTATGGACATGCTTGTTAATAGCCTAGAAATGCATGATGGTACTTGGGAGAATAAAGGCTGATTTTGGTTTCTTAAAGGTGGAAGCCCAGCAGAATTTAGTCTCCAATGCCAGCAGTGCCTATTTGTAAGTGCATTTATAAGATCTGCCTTAGTCCAGAACACATTAGTACCTCTTGGGAGCCTTTAGAAAAAGCAGATTAAAGCCCCAGCCCACTGAACACCCACTGCACCCTGATGTCTGGAAGTGGAATTCAACCATCAGTGTTTCCTCAGTGCTGTAGCCCACATGTACAAATCGCTTGATTAAGCTCTTGCCTCCTCAGCCTCTGGGCCTCAGTGTGCTCAGACAAGAGAGAGCTATTGGAAGTCTCACCAGGAAAGAGGTATGGGGAGTGCCCCCTATTTCTTTTCCTTTTCACTGAGTGCAAATGTGCATCTTTTCTTATTTTCTTCCTAAGCACCTCTCTTGTGATTTCTGGTATCATCAAAGGTTTCTATAATGAGGAAGGCCCAGCTCATTCTAGTAAACCCCTCACTCAAAGGTGAAGAGACCCTGCTCACATGAGTCTTTTGCAAACCTGGTAATCAGGATGAGTTTATTACCCATCTCCACCTCAGATCCACCCAGCCTGACAGCTCCATCTTTGCCCCACAGAGAAGAAAACCCACAGTTAACCTGCCATGGTGTTTTCACCTGCCAGGAGCCACAGGACCTGTTTGTGCATTGCTAAGAACCGCAGAAGGTGTCATTTAACAGCTATCAATTAGGTCACACTTCCTCAACAACTCATCTCTCAGGATTAAGTAGTGTCTTACCCCTGACATAACATTTACACTTCCTTCTGCCAAATCGGTAATACTAAACTTTCTTTCTAAAACGGTGTGTGCAGAGATGGATCAGAACTCTGCCTTGTGGCAGTGTGGTTTTGGACTAAACTTTGCATGCAGCAAATGCAGATCTGGCATTAGAATTCCAGCCCAAAGCCAGAAAGGTTTCAACTTGAGCTTAGCGCATCTAACAATGAGAGTGATGCAAACATTCTTTAATTTAGTTCTTTAGCAAAAAGAAAGGCAGGAAATATTCACTGTAGGAACTTGAGGGTGAAGAAGGAATGAAGTTTCTCGCATGAAAAATTTTGGAATCTCTCCCTCATTCCAGGGTGCTTGTTTACGTTTAGGTCCTTGATGATTTTTTTCCATTTAAGGGGGGGGGGTCCAAGGTATCAAAGGCTCCTGTGGGCAGTTTTTGTGGCTTGTAAAAGCTTGGATGGTGAGTGAGTATGACAGTAGTTTCCGCAGACCTTTGTGAGGAAAGATACATGCAAAGATTCTTATATAGTTTTAACACAGCTCTGGTTGGACGAAAATATCAGCATGCCAAACTTTTGAACTGAATTACAGAAGCCAGACACTCGTAGAGGCTGGAGATTTATCCTTATGGGTGAAATGCACAAAGCAGCAGGAGACATTGATGATGGGACCTTGGAGAAGGTCACTTCTCAGTGTGACTGCCATGAATGAAAACCTCTCTGGGTTTTTACATGTCCTTACCTGTAAAATGGAGGGGCAAGATACTCCGTCAATGCGCAAATTGCATTGAGAAATTCTGTAAAGAGGAATATGCTGGTGGAAAGAGCTCTGTAAATAAAGAAAAGAAAGGGAAGAGGAGGAGAGAGGGTTAATAGCATGGGCCAACAAGACACTTTAAAGATAGCAGGGGCCAGGGGATCTGAGTTCAATTCCCAGTACTAAAAAACATTTTTTTAAATTAAATAAACACAACAGTAGCAGAGATTTCAGAGCAGCCTCCTCACCCTTGAATCCTGATTCTAGAAATACTCTTTAGGCCTAAATTTTCAATGCATGCAGGGGTTGCCACCCCTCTTTCCTCTGAGTCAGTTGGGCTACATGAGAAGGATGCGAGAGGGAGGTAAAAGACAAAGAGACCAAGGGAACTCGTAGTGCTGAGTAGTTTTCCACGAGCTGTGGCACCGGCTCTGTCCATGTGTAAGCTCATGACTCCCCTCGCTGGCTCCCACCTGACCCCTGAGTACAGAGATGACTCTGTGTGCTGGAGATTAGGTTTTATTATAGAGACAGACTGGGTGCATATCAACTTTGGCTGCAGGAAGCAACAAAAGCTGGATCAGGATCTAAAGAGGGGTGTTCTTATTATGCCCCAAATAGGTTTTATGAGGTCCTGTGTAGGCACACATCCCAGAGCAGCAGGATGGGCTTGCAAACAAGTAGAGCCAGCTTCGCACACAGAAGCATCGTGGTGGAGAACAGGGCACAGGCTACACCAGGAGGCCACTCAATAGGATGCGGAAGAGCAAGTTGACCATACATCTCTAAGGGACCCAAGCCAATTTGATCTTGAGTAGCAACCAAAAGTGAGTGGTGTCCCAGAAAACAGAGCTAAGTGTCCCCTCCCTGTCCCACAATAATCAAACAGAAATTTGACACTGAGCAAATACACCTGCTGAATAAGTGAATGGAGGAATGAAGGAATAAATGGCCCCAGAGTGTACCTGGAGTGCTAGGCTCAGCTCTAATTATAT